GGAGTATATTTGTATAAGTCCTACTCACAACTACTACTCTACTCCTACTACTGCTGTTAGTGCTGCTACTGCTACAACAACAACAACAACAAACAACAACTAATACTACTACTTATTACTACTACTACTACTACTACTACTACTACTACTACTACTACTACTACTACACCACCTACTACTACTACTAATAATAATAATAACAATTATGATAAACATAGTATACCTAATTACATGATTCTAAACCGAATGATTAAATGACATCGATAAGGTATAGGAAATATCTGTTAAAAAATCTATTCAAACAATGCATAGATTATTTAAAACACAAAAAATTAATGAAAAAGTCATACTTGCGTTATTTTCTCAATTCTGAATAAACTCGCCATTTGAGCCGATATTGAACTTGACGATCCTCCAACTACCCCTAGCAGTGGACCTGAACTCTGACTTTCGATTGCGCATTGACATGTTTCCTTAAAAGTAGTATCTAAGATGAAAGTCATGGCTTGCTTGGTTGCCTGGGAGATAGAGTCGCACGAATCATAGATTTTGGTTCCTATAATATAAATAATGATAACAGAGCGACATAATAATTATATAGGCTCATATATTTAAGAAAATTTGAATAATAACCATAATGATGATAATAATAGTAATGATGATGATGATGATGATGATGATAATTTGTGAATGTGTGTACCAACGATATAGCCTAACATCCAGAGTTCAAAATGTAGCGCGTACTTATTAGTATAATACAAGATATCTGAGATCGGGGATGAGATCTGTAAATCAATCACTTATAGTACATTGACCCTTTTAACTGCTCCGAGTACAGTAATAGCAAATTCTAGAATTCAGTTTAAACATCCATGGATGCACAATATCGATATCGCAACGAATTAAACAGTCGCTCTCGGATTAAATCCATACTCGAGGGTCGCTAAAGTTTGTGACTGTTTAAGAAGCTCTATCAAAAGCTGACGTCTCCATTCCAAGAGTTCATTCATTCATTCATTCATTACTTTATTTCCACACGATGACATTTCGTCACAAACTGTACAGCTACAGAAGGTTGGTTTACATAATTTCGTTTATCTAAATTGAAAGAAAAAAATCCTTCATAAAATCACTAGAATTTTGACTTAAACATTTAGATGGAAGACGAAGATTGAACGTCAAAATGGTCGACAGTTGAAGATACGGGAACCTCTAAACACGATACCACGTTTTCTAAACTCGGTATTTGGTTGCAAATATGTAATTTTAGACTTAGACTGTAAACACTTTGATGATTTTTAAATTGAAAGTGATTTTGAATGTAAGAGGGCATAAGTAGATTATGAGCTTTTTGCATAAATATTGAGAGTTTCTTTGACCTCGATGTTTCTCCAACTTAGTTTTTTTGGCACTGTCTTTCCTAATTCATTAAGTTTGGAACCCAGAATAACACGTCCCAAATTTAGTAGTAAAAAATCCAGGGGCGGATTTAGAGGTGGAGCGGGCCGGCCCCGGCTCCGGGTTTTAGAAGGTAAAAGAAATAGAAAAAGAAAGAAAGAAAGAAAGAAAGAAAAAGAAAAATAAATGATCGCAAAACGCCTCAGAGATTATTTTCGGCATGCCCCCGGGGTAGTGTTACCTCAATCGGCCCCACTTTCGGCTCCCTAAAATCGACACAATTTTTCCAAACTTTCCGACTGTACTCGAAATGTGATAATACGATAGATTATGAACAAAGCTTTTAACACTTTTATTAGCACCAATGCCCGTTGATACTTTGGAACTTACAAGTCAAAATATGTTTATCCCTGTTAAATGGCGATAATAGTAAAACCTAAGTATTTACGAGATTCAACTCCTTTAAGATATTTATTTCCAATTTAACTATTTAGCTCTTGATTGACAAATCTCAGTTTTTGGTCAGACCCAATTAACATTACTTAATATTGCTTAGCATTTGAGGTGAGTCGCTTCATTTAAGACATTTGTAAGGCAGTCGGTACGTCTATATTAAAAAAGTAAGCGTAAACATCCTCAGCTACCTATCCTGCAATTGGTTAATGCATGATGAGCCAGGCCCACAATTCTAGATTGGAGGGGATGGATTCTATGTTTCAGCCGAACTGTAAACACCCCACCCTTCTGTTTAAAGAACCTTTGCCAGAGACCCCGAGAAGGCCCCAAGCAATGGTGCCACTTCGAGAACTCTCAAATGGATTTATATATAGGCACGCAAACAGAACCGTACCAATACGCATGACTTGTTTCCCCCGCTTGGTTCGCGTGTAAAGTTAAGTTGGTTCAGCTTGTTGATTCAGTGTGCGTTTAACGACCAAATGAACTCAGCATTGATTTTGTCCTACCGTTCATACAGAATCATTTTGTACTCTACGTTACAACCACTTAATTTTATTATGAATTATCAATCTGCTAAGACCGTAGGTCATTTATAAAATCAATATTTAGTTTTAGGTTACACTCAGTAAATGGGTGTTTCCCCTTTACATGTGTGCAGTAGTAGTTGTGTGGCGCGCATGTTGAACGCTGAATGGCTTGATATTAGTATTAAATTACTCAAAATGTTTTTGTCTAAATTATTAATGCATAACACCGTTTATATAATCTGTAGTTGCTTTATTCGAAGATGATGGCGTCGCGTCGTCTATCGCTCACATAATAATAGATCTGTTTCTTGGCTCTATGCATAGAGCCAGAGCGAAGATGATTCGTTGACCGTAAGTTTCGTTACAGTATGCGTTATTCAATACCGGTAGGTGTGTACTCACGTGCTAAAGGAGGGAGAATCTAGGATGAATTAAACAGTCTGCGGCCTCCGTGTGTTCTTTGTAGTACATAATTCGACCTAGAGGACGAAAACTCAAAGTCTTCACACGTGCAGAAGACTCTCGTGACGTCATTACGTACCGAATCTTGAGCTTCGTTCACACTCCTGCAATTTTGGCGCGTAAAACCCAAAGGCCATGGCCAACAACGCTACTACACATACGCCAGTCAACACAGTCGATGTTCAATGTGAACCATTTAAAATTAAGCGCGTACTGCAACCGCTGTGATAGCTAACATGCACCGAATCAAATTGCAGTTCTTTTCACAAGATGGAGAATGAGATGATTAGACGCATTTTGTCTTTTGTCTGTGTTTTGCGTGCCAGTGTGGAACGAGCTTGAGATCTATTTTAAAGAACGAAAATACAAGAAATAATACATTCATAACATGTAGTAGTAAAATATCACTTGAATAGGCCTACGAGAATATTTCAAAATCAATATTATGTTCAAAATATCAACCAAGATACCATAATGTATTTCAATTACCAAATAATATTTAGCCTTTGCTTATCAATTTTGTATCGCGATAGAGATCCAGCCATTTCCCGTACAGAACTGACGTTTTCCAGTATAAAAAAAAAAAAAAAACGAGCTCATCACTAAGTGCCGTCACAACAAATTTAAATATGAAAGGGAAAGAAACAGGTAACAAATGGGTATAATATCAAGTAACAACCTTAGGCTGTCAGTTGTCTGATGACCGCCATAGGGCGCGAAACTCAGAGTAACAACCAAGCCACAAGAAAACATTGCGGAATATATTATATTATATTATTATTATTATTATTATTATTATATTATATTATTATTATTATTATTATATATATATATATATAATATACAATTTATATTATTTGCTGCGTAGCAAAGTAAAAACAACATTATAAAATAATTAATATTAACAATTCTATACATATGCATGATTATATATGTGCAGTTATGCATGAGATAACTTCACATAATGATCGTTAACTGCCCGTTGCGCATGTGTAGTGTGTTGTAGGTTCTCTTAAGCATGTTCTTAGAGTTACTAGATTAGTCAATGACGCTATGGCTCATCTGCTAATGTTTTTGGAGTGAGATTATCTAGGATGGAAACTTAACAAGTAGTAGTAATTTAGCTGTATGTACTCAAGTTTGACTGCAAACTGGAGATATCTTCATAGAGTATATAGGCTAATCATCACATGACCGTCATCATTATGCTAATACATAATGAGGCTATTAACTTTACACGTTTTCATAATCAGCATCTTAAAGTATCTTTTTTGAGTGAAGGACATGATCGCCCATCCGGGGGCTGGCGAACCCCTCCTCGCTACTTGACAGCAGCCAAAAATTGATATTTGAGATTAAAAATACTAAATCTTCAAAACTCATAGGTCATTGAATGGCACTACCCACTCCCCTCGCATCTGACACTAAAATATGGAAGTCAGTGGTGGATCCAGGAATTCGAAATAGAGGGGGGGGGTGAAGGGACTGTCACAGACGGAGTCCCCCCACCCCCAACCATTGAATTCGCCACTGATAGTAATGTATTAAAACGTTACAATAAAAGTGTTCAATTCGTGTATTAAGTATTGAAGATCGTGTAATTACGAACATTTTTGTAACATTAGTCAATACTTCTCTATACCGGTCGAACACTTTACAGTATGTGTAAACCTAGCAAATAATGATTTTAAAAGGATTAAGCAATTGAGGAACCATTAAGTGATGGTCATGTAAACATAACTCTGTTTAAATGACATGGGGACCATTAACAGCTCTCCATTAAAACTGATAATGCAATATTGCCATATTTGGTATTAGTTAAAGGTGCAACGCTTTATTTTCATTTCAACTTTTAGAAATATGAAAATACAATTAGGATTGAAATTAAACACTAACAAAGGATTCTGTATCAAATACATCGGCTGATGACATGCTGTACATTAAAATTACTTAAAACAACATTTTTCTCCAGGCTTTGCACAGTTTCGATTCGTTTAGCACATCTCGCTAACACATTGAATTAGCTTATTATTATATTGTCTGAACCTTATTCATGAAATTAAAAACTGATTTTCTAATAAATTAATTGAAACTAGGCAAGCCATTTTCTGCAAATAATCGGCTAGCACCCGTATACCTGGGCTGTTCAAGCATAATACGAAAACCATTATTGTAACAGACTTTTAGACAATTTAAATATTTATCTATTTACGGTAACATTTATCATATAGACAGTAGGGCTATCTCTTCTAAAACCATGTCTTGTCGTTAAAATATCTAATAAGAGATCATATCGTATTGATATCTGTTACACGCGTACTAATGATGTATCCGCATATATAAAGAGACTGCTCGTTATATTACTTTCAAATTAGTTTCAAATTGTCCAACGAAGCTCAAATGGATATTTTTACAATCCCGAATTCCTCTCTCATTAGCGTTTACAAGAGATAATCATTATATATATTCATATGTTTTACTATATATATTGAAATGTATATATATATATATATATATATTATATATATATATATAAATCATCAAAGAAAGGTAAATACAGTGTATCTGGTGGTATTTGAATCTGTTTAACCATGAAGCCTCCGTGGTCTAATGGTTATGACGCTCGCCTTGACAGCGAGAGGTCGCAGGTTCGAGTCCCGCCAGAGGCATTATATTACACAATTTCTTTATTCGTTTATTTACAGGACTA